GAGCCATTATGTTAAATTTATTTAAAACTACATACACCAAACTTTCTATTCCTTCATATGCAAGCAATTATTACTGGATACACAAAATACATGAAGACTAAAACTGATCAATACGACAAAACATGATCAAATCTTCTTCCGAACAATTCCAATTTATATGATAATTAAGTTTCCCAAGTTTCACTCCTCTCTAAACCTTAACATGCAAAACTGACTTGGAAGGCTACGGCGGGGTTACTGACATACTTCGTATAATAACCTCGACTGTTTCTGAATATTCTGTCTTGCAAGTGCGTAAGTTACGTCTTCAGATTTTCATCTTTTTGGTATGAATTAAATATCTTCAAAATGGTTCTTCAGTTTGGTCTTAAATCAAATTGAATCTATCTTTGTTATATTATTATTAAGACATATAAAAACACATGGATAAAAATGTATCTTGTGCTATGATTCACAAGTAACACGCTTAACAAAGTACCAATAGCCTGATTTGGGGAATGACATTTTCATTAAAAATTTAAGGTGTTAAATACTAAAGTCAAGACAAATATCGTACAGATGCACTGCTGTGTTTACCTTGACAAAAAGTCCGTGAACTATGGTCTTCAAAATTAAAAATATTTATATAAATTATTCATTTAAATGAACTTCAGTAATCAATGCTTATAAAATGGATCATTAATTTTTTTACTTTTTCTTTTAGACAAAGAAGCTAGCCAGTCCACCATTAAAATAGGAGTGCGACTATCACACAACAGGATTAAACTATTTTATTGATTGAAAAAGTATAATTAACTAAAAAAAACTTCGATTAATTGATAAACAATTAATAAACTAGGTGATGTTTATGTTTCTTTCTAATTGTAGATGTTTATCCCGTTCGGATGTCCTTTGTCGTTTACGTCTTATTTGTGTGTCAGTAATCCCGTAATTCCAGTCTCGTTTGATTGCTATTTAATGGGACATAATGAGCGTTTTCTCCTAATTTTCATCAATTTAGAAAGAATAGGTCAATCAATGATCATAAACATGATAATAAACAGAATCAAAGATTACTCATTTTTCAACAATTTATTGACAACGATAAGAAAATTTACATCATCTGACATGAAAAATTAAATAATCACAAAATCATTAATAAATTTTATATCAATTATTGAAAATAATCATCAAGTGATTTTTTTTCAAATTGAAATTAATGGGTTTTTGTTGTTTCCAAACACATTAAAACGTCTTTTATCACGGCTTTTTACGTGAAAAAATGTTAATGTCTTTTGACCTTGTTAATTTATAAAATCATACAGGAAACAAAAAAATACATATTCGAATACTATAAAAATCATATTAAAATGTACTTTTATCCATATCTGAATAGGGCTCTACCGTTAATGACTCCAGAATAACTTTGAACTTTTAGACTTATACATTTTTTTTGTTGCAAAATATTTTCTGCATATTTAGTTGTTTATCACTTATGTTATTATTATATTTTAAAATCCTGAACATACATTAGATGACTAAATTGTATGCATTAGGAATGAATGTAAAATATCTTTATTTGACGGCAAAATGTATATTAGAGAATGTATAATGGGCTAAGTCATTAGATGTGAAACGTCACAAACTAATGGGGTGGTAGCTCATTTATCATTTTCTCTTTTCTAGTGTTGAATTTAAAAACAACATCTATTCTCAATTCATAACTTCATTAATCAAAAAAGTAGTTGTGATCTTTTTTAGATCGATTTGTATGCGTTCCAATATGGTTATACGTGAATAAGGACGCGAGTTATCACAAAATCTGTTTCGTTGAGGTCTTCAACTGGGTGGTATATCTTGTTGATGGAAATGAAATGAAAAAGAACTACTTAATAAAAGAACATCGCTTTAAAAACAAGTTGTCTTGTCAAATGACAGATCACGGAATCTACACGGTTCATTTCCGACCTAGGTCTCGGTTTTTCACATACACCCATAATTTTTTTTAATGTAAACTGAATTACATGTACAGGCTCGTATTGCATTTAGAATAATTTAGTCTGAAGTGGATTTTTTTTAACAACAATATCGTTTAAAATGTTGGCGTTTTATGATTTTGATATCCAAATGTGATTATTGAATAACTAGTTCATACCGTTCCCCAATTTTTAAAGGTTTTGTTTTTTAGGGAAATAATATTTATATAGCTTTCTTATAATTTTATTCGCTCTTCTTCTGATAATTTTAGGTCATTAATTTTCATCGATCGATCTTGTTTAATTATTATAATCTTTTTTGTAAATCACGTAATTTGCCTCTGGACTGTAATTTTATTGAAACTAATGATCAACAAACTCAAATTAGGCCTCTAAACATATAATTTTCATGGCATGCCTTATCACATCTCTGATAATCAAATTTCATGGATATTCCTATTTCTATGGACAATTTGCAATTCAAGTTAAGATAATGAGAATTTTTAATTTACAGTTTTACATGTTTGATACATCTATTATGTTAAAAACGAACTAAACATGCAAGTCCAGACGAACATTGTTTTATTTTTCACAACATTGAAACAAGGAGCATGGTTTTGTGACGTCACCGCAGACGACACTTAATTCATACAGAGTTCAATATGAAAATACCAATCAAAACATTTCTCATACCCAAAAAGTCCTAACACTATCTTTGTTTTATAAAAAAATTAAAGTAGGTTTTGAAACATCTCAAATTATGAACACCTTTTTAAATGTCATCGGTCTCAGCGTGGTACCCTTTAAAACTTCTCGATGCAAATGAAATAAAAATAACCAACGGCGTCTAAACAACACGACAAAGACAAGACCCGTCAGAAAATCATGGTCTATTGTTCTTTACTTTGAATGAACAATTTGAAATATAACACCGTTATAAGGGGTGGATCGTATAAAATTCCATTCCCATTTAAAACACAAATCTAAAATAATTTGATCCAACTTAACATATTCAACGAGTTGTACGTACAGCTTTAAAAATATAGTTTCTTTACGGATTCAAATTACACTATATTCTCTTGTATAAAATCTTCAACGAGTTTGGCAATTTGAATCGGATTCTTTAACCGAATAATAACAAAGTATTTACATTGAAACGAAACAAGAGGATTTCAATTGTTGAAATGGACAAAATTATTTTTTAAATGTTCATTCCGTAAGCATCACGTATCATAAGAACGAAGTGTCGCTATTAAGGAAAATGAACTAAAATCTAAAGCCGTTTTCAAACTCACTCAAAACTCAAAACTCAAAAGCTTAAAACTTATACATGTATATAGTAATCTTAATGCAGCAACATATTCTACCCTTTTAATTTTATAAAGGCATTTCCTCTTCCTGCTATAGAAGGGGTGTAAAAGACATTTATATATAATACCTGACAAAATGGTATATACAAATCAAATTAAAACATCGTATGTCCTGTGACTTAGCAAGACCAGACGTGATATTACATGAAGCTCTTGGTTCTGAAATGTTTTGTTCATTAAGTTTTGCGTTGAAGTAGGGAGAAATCCTAATTACACTCGTTATGATGGCTATCACAAGAAAAAAAATATTCTGAGATAAGATGAACTTGACCTTTTTATCTTTTCGCAAGAAAATGCTCTGAAAATATCACTGACGGCTTCTACAAGAACGCTGTTTGAATCAAACTGTTGCCAAAGTAAAGCATTTGGATAGTGTATAATTGACTACTTTGTGTCGCGGAGTGATATATGTCTGGTATCCATCAATCACTCCGCGAAAAGTGCATATACAAAGTCCGTACACAGTTGGAGAAGATATGCAGAAGACGGTATAGGTAATCTTGTCATCAACATCTAGTAGATTCAGACCACCCATCATTATTATCTACATCAAAGTTAAATAAACTTAAAAAAATATTTGATATGCATATACTTAATTGTTTAATGACAGTCACACTTTCAAATTTTGTTCCTGTTAGCTGTGGAACAACACCCTATATCCAATATAGCTTTGATGTACAGTGATCGGTGAGGTCGTTTGTCCGTCGGTCACCCTTCTCAAACCAATAACTTCATTTAGCGACACCTCAAGAAAGTCTTCAGATTCAGCTTCGTAATTATATTGTTTTTTTAACATCTTTAAAGGTTTGAGCGCCACTGACGAGTCTTGTTTGAATGAAATCCATGTCAGGCGTATTAAAATTAAATGCTTTGTTTATTTTCTACTTTAAAGTAAAAGCATAGCAAAACACAGTATTTTCCATGTCGATGTTAATTTGGAGAGCATTTTTCAGAAAATCCTTAGTACTTAATGGCATTGTGCGCCTTCTTTTTTATGTTTTGATCAAAATGACATTATGGGTTTCCTTTAGCAAAACAACGACGATGTTGTATGCAAAACTTAGAGGCTATGTATTCGTAACTTTACGGTGAGCCAGTGTTCTAAGAGTTTTGAATTTTTTTATTTATAAGAACCGTATCCGGAAGGTTGCAGTAATTTCTCAAGGAAAAACATATGGCTTCACATTCCATTATTTACATTTATTATTATATAATTGATGAAAATTGTAATATTGAAACGAAACTCACTATAAAATACTGCATATTTTCTTCATCTATACGTTCAACATTTAATGGCTCACATTATTTTTGTATCACTGGTGCTTCCGTTAAAATTGGAAGTATCCAAGCTTTTTATAAAGTGCTTGCCTTAATCATAAACTATATAATTCTCTTAAAAGATATGTTGAAATTATAATTATTTAATAATAAAATGCAAAAATGGTATTTCGGTACAGCAGTTTGGTTTCAAATGAACGGGGGCCAAACCAGACAAATTTCGATGATGAGCTTAGGGTATAATATATAATCTCTTATTGGAATATCGGTTTGATGTCAGTCAACAAAAAAGCAATATAAAAGCTAATCTGGGCAAAATAGCAATTAAAGCTACACAATATGAATGAATGATTCTGAAACAAGATAGATAACTCTTTTAAAAAAGATAAAAACTGACCTGTATGACCCTCATGTTGAGACCAGTCTCCTGTGCCAATTGTTCTCGTATGTGTCGGGTTGGTTTAGGCGTGGCATTAAAAGCTGCCTTCAAAGTTTCTAATTGTTTAGCTTTTATTGTTGTTCTAGGTCCTCTACGTTTCGACCCAGCAGTTGAATTCCCGTTTGTTCCGTCAATAGCTTCGTCTCCTGACCTATTACTATCCGGAGTTACATTTGAGTTTGGATGAATGGAATTTCCGTTCGTATCACAGCTCTGTGTACTATGATTAGAGTCCGATGATATTTTCAACAATGATGTGTCGTCCTCTTTGAGTGGTTCCGGACTGGATTGAGGAGAGTTCATTATACTTTTGTCGTCCAGATTATTGTTCGTAATATTGTTATTTGCAAGATTGTTATGGTGATTATTCAATATAATATTTTCTTTGGAATCTAAGTCTTGGTTGTCACCATCAATACTGAAGTCTTTATCAGACAAACTGGTCTGTTGCTCTAAAGCGCTGTCTAAATCACCTTCGTCTTCTATATCCGACGATCCTGGTTATGAAAAATAAGAAAACACCATATGTGATTTGCCAATTAAAATTTATAATTGGAAAATGTTCAAGTTTGGGCAAAAATTTTGATAAGCATCGGACCGTGGTACAGATGGATTTAATTTGACACGGATGAAAATATACTGAAGTTTTTCCTGTAAATTAGAAAATACCACCCCAAATCTGTATCCCATCATCAATCTGTACCATATGGTACCAGTCGAATTCCTGACAATCCGAAGTACTAACCAGAATTTTTGCGCCAGGTAAAATAATCAATAGTAAAGGTGGTGTTATTTTCCGCATTTGTACAGAAAAAGAAGATAAGATATTTTATGAATGAGAGAGAGAGAGAGGCATTTGAACTTTAAGTGACTTTTGATATATATTTTCAAATATTCGACTTTGAGCGTTCCTTATGAGAGTATATCCAGAATAGCGCTTCGATCGCATACCATTTATATAAAGTATTATTTTCCATTTTTTGTAATTTTTTATGTATGAAATAATGCATTGCAGTCCAAAACTGAAAATGTTTTCTCATATAAAAACTGTCTTATATTAAAATATAAGATGCTTCCGTGCATAATTACTGTATCCAATTTAGAAATTTTAATTTTCATACTTTGAATAAACCTCAGTGGTATATTTTGGTACACTTTCCTGTACAATTTTTTCACAGATTAATTTTACCAGAAAGTGCACAGCTTTTTTAAATAATAATTAGTGCCGAATATGCCTGTACATAATATTTTGAGATGGTGTGTTTGACTTGAAACAGTCGCAACACTGCTGTAAATTTTAAATGTAGGTGTGTAAACATGTACACATATGCTGTGTCTTTAAAGTCTCTCGTAAATCTTTATAAGATTGCTCTTTACATTGCAAATGTTTTAATTGTGTCATATGTTATCCTGTGAATCTATATATTTGTATGTTGTGAGACTCTAATAAAATATTGCATCTGAATCTGAATCTGTTAAGATTTTGGTAGATACCATATAGTTGTGCCAACAAAATCTGTTAATCTTTAAAACAAAACAACAAAATATAAGCCCTGTTCATTGATAATTTTCTATGTTTTCTATGTATTGTGTGCGATTTTGTCCCATGTACATTTACTCCATATCCTTTCATTTTCTAATGTTCATATTAAAAAAAAACCACAAAGTTCTTTTATTCAGAAACAAACTATACTGAACTGATCATCAATTACAAATATTCAAAAGCAAGAAAAAAGTCTGTTTGACGAATAGCTTGGTATAACTACCATCGATTAATGTAACGTGCGTGGTAAAAAAGTAAATATTTTTTCCGTCCTCTTTATCTGAGAAACTGAATAAAAAATGTAGTTTTCATAAAGACATAATCTGTCTTGATCTCTATCTTTGTTATAGAAAGAATTGGAAACAGTGGGGGACGGGATGTTATGGAATTCTAATAGGAACATAATTTATGCAGAGGAGCAAATTTGATGCTGGTGTAGTTATATCGTGGTGTGCTCCTTGACGCGAGAAAAGCGCTTGTAGTTAGCTTTTTGTAAGTCGTGATACACGCCAATGAACAGAAAATATGATGTATACAAAGTTAAAAATGTCTTTTCATAGTCTGCCTTCTGTGGGAATGGGTCTTATGGAAATAGGATAATTTATATGAGTTTATAGTGTATTAATATGACCAAATGTATGTGTGAATTTATAAATTTGTCTATAATTTCAGAGCGGCATGGACTGGCCAGACGAGTACTTATAGTTAACCCTCGAAGTCATGAATTCGGCGAAAACACTTGTACATATATGCCTAATCTGTTTGTGAGGTATTTTAGTGAGTGCCAACACACAATATAAAATTCAACGGAATCGCCTTATTTAAGTTCTGCTGAAATATTAAATAATTCACATTAAGTTATGGGAATTTACTTGCAAACCTGTAACATTGTAAAATACTATAATATTTATCTATAATAAATTGGATTACTTTTCAATAAAATATTTATAATTTCTGCTTACAGGAGATACACACAATGTTTTCTTATTTAGTTGCGGTTATTTTCCCAGGTGTGGCATGGAAATTGACTAAGGCTTTGTTTTGCCGACATTACTGATATACGATACCCAAAGAAAATGAATTGGGTGATATCAGAGCCATCATAGACAAGACAGAGATGTTCCGGTTACATAATAAGTTTTTGTTTTCGAACAACACTAATTCGATTGTATTGGAAAATTCTCAAATATGACAAGATAATTATAATATCAGTTCATATTAGTTGTTACTTTACAGGTGTGTCTGTCGTTAAATGTGTATACTTTGAACAATTTAATTTCACTGTACAATAATGAAATGACACTGAAAATTTTAACTTTTCATGACTCCATTTAAAATTTACTCTGAAAATGTTTTAACCCCCCCCCCCAAAAAAAAAAAAGAAACAAAAACAAAAAAGAATTGCAATGACTAATATTCTATGTTTGTGCCCATATAAGTCACGACGTGAAGAAAGATAAGGTTTCTGCTAAACTGAATTAACTGGAAACACGCAAAAAAAATGTGAAAATATGAAAAGATTGAAAATAACCATTCGTTTCTATTAACATAGCATTCCTGTCAAATTTGAATTTGAAAGATGTTAGTTACTTAATATCCAATAACAACTATTTTAAACATATTTACTCCAAAAGGACAAGTAAATGTCGTCATTTTATTCTAACAGATTGAGATTTTCAGCATTTACACATTTTCATAGCCCTTAACCACAAGAGTTTATTTGTAACCTTTTGGGAACCAATCAGAGCTATTATAACAAATTACCGTCATTCGAGTTTAAAATGTAGTCAACATACTTTAGCTTCGATACACATAAAAATCACCGGCGGAGAAAAATATGATCTTCAAAGGAACCCACGAGGTATTGCTCAATGTAATGGAATAAACGAACCTCTTGAAGCTTAATGTAATAACTTCGCATGCTTAACAAGTCCTACACAAATGATTTGGACTTGAAAATCCAATTTTCTCCCATTTTTACACTTGTCGTCTGCTGTTCTATACAAAATGTGCATGTCAAATATTGCAAAAAAGAATTAAAAATTATTTTTTTTCAACGTCATTATTAAGGTTTTCTTTATTGTTATTTTTGTTTTGGTCACAAGTTGAAACATTGACTTTTCCGCAATTGTTCCATATTTATTGTTTCCAGAAGATATTTAATAGACGGATGACATTAGGATATTATAGATTCTTGAGGTTTCTTGGCCACACCGTTTTGATATTTAAAACTTATTGAATCTTTGAGCTCACTGATTATTATTTACAATCGAGTCAATAGTATGCAAGAAGTAACCTTTGCATCTGTGTATATTTGCTGTGTTTTTACTTATTTTTTTCAAATATTTCTTTTAGTGGAGCACGCAGAATGTTAATACCAATTTTAAGAACCAATTCTAACAGCCATTTGAGAATCGATCCTACAACCTCAGTCCCACTCTCAGGACGAGAACTGATACAAGACCACCGAAACGATTTAATAAAAGAAAAGAAAACCACCCCAAATGCAAGGAATATATGGCACTTTGATATATATCTAGTATAAAGATGCTCATATTTGGATTATTTGTTTGTTTACAGTTGGACTGCTGTCTCATTGATCCTACACCACACCTCCTCTTATTCACGTTGTTTAAATGAGTGATCGAAATTCCTGAAGTATGTACTTCACTTGCAATGGTTATTGTGAGTAAACAACAAGTTCTTCCCTGCAAAGATATTTATCACTTGGGTTCTGTAAACGTATAGGTTAAAGCATCATCGTACATTTTTTTCTATATAAATCCGACATTATTGCCCCTAGATCCTCTTGCATTATTATTTAAAGGTATTCGTTTGACTTGAGACGGCATGATTCAGGCTTTTGGTCGAATTATCCATTTCAAGTACCTCTACTCAAATTTCGAGGAGCATTTCTCGTTCTATCAGCATCGTCCTGGCCTTGATCGATACAATGAACAAACCGACTGTTCAAATAAACGTTCCTGGGACGGGTCGATATCCTCGATGTGCGGAATCGGATAAGGACCTGTACTGAAAGATATGATTAATTATATCAATTAATCATTAGCTGAAGATTTAAAGAAGATTCTATTGAATCCAATAATTTCTCTTAAACACGTCATAAATATTTTAGACTAAATCAGACGTATCTCGGATGATGAAAACACATGAAACAGCAAAACAACGCAATCAACCGCTATTGATCCGGAATTTAGAATACTTAACGAATATCCGTTTATAAATGGGCCAGATAAATGTATATCTGTCTTGTTGAAAATTAAGCATTTAAAGTACATAAATGCAGCCAAGTGAAACGCACAACTGATCAAAGAGATTTGGGGGCAGGCATCCAAAGAAATCAACATTTCTTTTTCAATTGTTTACAAACTACTATAAATGTACGCCACTAAGTCTACCAAATGAAATACAAGGTTCACAATTTGTATGTTCTTCTTCCTTATCATTTTACATTGAAATGAAATTATTATGTTGCTTTCATATTTTCTAATAGTATGAGATGAAAGGGAACCTCCCACTGTCGAGTCTCCGAAGGCCACGAGACCGGTAACGAGATTTTCCTGCCAACTCTTGAATTATATACCATTTAACGAGTATCTTAATTGAAATAAAACGTTTAAACATGTCTTTTAAAGCACAAAATGGTTTATGTTTCAATTCGAAAATAAAAAGATCCTTTTCAGATGGTTCACATCTATAACGGCGCCATGGTTTTATGTCTAAAGAAATCCTGGCGTTTGGTAAAAGTTATGTCAAAGTTACGATATTTTAAAGATCTTGTAAAATTCGTTTTTGTCGTTTAAACAGTCATATAGGGTTACTGTTACTCATAAGAACAAAGAAACTTCAAAAAGGGCAATTTCTTTGATTATATTTCAATAAAATATTCTTGCGAAGTTTGAAAAAATCTTTTTTCAATGTATGAAGTCATTTTCTACTACACGTATATAACTGTGTGTTTGTAATAAATTCCAAAGATTAATCATCTTCATGAATATCAAATTCGTATTTTAAATGTGCTCAAAATATTTTTACACTGAATTTCTAAAAAAAAATCTTACAATTGCATGCGATAAATTACTTCTAGAATGGGATTTTCTGAAATAGCAATTATGATATTCGTTATATCTCTGAGGAAAGGCGTGAAATAGTTTCTCACACAAGGGACTCGGTAGCGATTAGTTGTGGTCAGTTCTGAACACGCGTAACGGCTGAATTCTGTAATAACTAAGATGGTATGAGAGTTCATAACAACATCATTCAAGACTAATGAAATTTACACCTCTGTAATGCAATTTTGTGAAATGGACAACCATCGTGTCTGATTCGCAATGCGAATGATTTACTCAATCAACTATTTCTCCAGATGAAGAAAAGTTTTGCGGGTTATTAACAAAATAAGGTTATAGAAATGGTTGCCGAAAGCTGGTAAATGATAATTTAATTTTTTCGTTTATCGTTGAAGCAGAAAATTTACTCTCGCGTGAGACATTATTAAATATAGATCATACTTATTATGGTTTTTCTGTTGAGTCACAAATATTCTTCACAATTTACCCAACATAATAGAAACTGGAATGTACATACGGTCCAATGTAAACTACATATGGCTGAACTATCGATACAAATATTTATTGTATATATTGCAACCAATTTGTATTTTTAGAATGATAGACAAAAGAAAAGTATAACTCTTACTTAAAAACGTTGCTTCATTGATATGTCTAAGTTCTTGTTTTTTTCAGCAATTGCTATTAGTATATAGGCTTACAAGCTTTCAAGTATGCGATGTGAATTTTGCTTATTTATAATAAGAATATTTCAATTAAATAATATAACATTTTATAATTTTTGGAAGAAAAATGTTAATGTGTTTAATAGCAATAAAATGTCCTAAAAGCGCGCGTGCTGGGTTAAATTGACTCGCAGCAACTGCAGAAAAGATTACGAAGAACCGTTAAGACGTCGATTAGACAAGCAATCGAATTTGCATTAATGACAAGCCGATGATGTTCAAACCCTTTTATTAACTGTGCGTGATAATATGCGTACAAAGACCTTTGATTTTAGAAAAAGAAAACATTTTTAAAATAGCTGTAGTGGTTATTTATCGCAATTCAATCAAGATTGCAAATGAAGTGTAATGATAGGTCGAATTAATGGTTAAACAATTCTCGAAACTGACGGACTAAATTTATCATCAGTAATGAACGAAGATACGTTGGTTTGCATTTAATCTTAATTTCAAAATCAAAAGTGTCAACTGAAAATTTTTGAAGTCTTGATTGATAAATACAGGTGACTGCATAACTATATATTTGTATACATTTAAAGTTCGAAAGTATTTTATTGTTTAAAAAATAGTTTTTGTAAGGATGACCAGGTCAGATTTGGAAACTTTTGTACAAAGTTTGTATAATCTGAAATTTTTCTGTTCAATGTTATCAAATATTACTTAATTGTTTCTGGTGTAAAGGGAAAAAGGCTTATTTGCCTTCTCGTGTCAATATATAAATTGTAAGTAATTTGTCATTAAACTAACAAATTAACACCAGACGACACCATTGAGGGCGCTTTTCTAGCTTCGTCTTTGATATGTCAGATCAAATTAAGAAATACATATTAAGAGCATTAGGTTGACTTCCAAACATGACATGACGTACAGAATTATCAATGAGTATAGTAAAAATTAAGTTCGAATTTTTTAGACGACTGCGGCCATTTTTCGAATACCATAGGGTCACCCTCGTGCAGTTTTGCGTTTAAACTCAGCAAGAATTCACAAATATTTTCCCTATGTGCTAAATGAACAATCTTTCATATTTTATTGTCTGTCAAACAGAAGAATGGATAATAGACATAATTCCTTCATAGGGAATATTCCGACACCTATTTTTCATGTTTATGAGTAGGGTGTATTTGGTTGTTAGACAGTTCTTTGTTTTACAGCCATAACCTCACGCAATGTCGTTTCACTTTTCTGCTATGTAATTCCGGGGAGGATCACTATTCACAAAACGTTGCCACCAGTCTCTAGAATCCAACATGCACATATGAATTGAAATATAAAATGTCTCACTGTGGAACTTTAGTGATACGTAATTATTTAAGCTTGGGGTTTTTATTATGCACGGTTAAAAATTTGTAATTCTTCGGTATACGTGAAAGAGTAGACATTTAAGATGTAAAAATTCTGTTTATTTTTATTCAGATAAGCAACTCGTTTATACATATTTTGAAATGGAATTTGTTGATTTAGAATATCATCGCCGCTGATAAACACGGATATTATGTTACTAATATTTTCAACAAAAATATACATACACCGTTTACATTGTTAAAGGAAAAATTGTTAAAATAAATAGAACTTTACACTAAGAAGGTTAAATATGCTAAAATATATATATTTTATTTACATCTTCACAATGGTAAACCAAATTTAGAATTTAAATTAAATTCAATATTCCATTGCAGGTGCTTGTTCTATTGTCTAAATTTAAACAAATGTTTGACAATTAAAAAAATAAGTTCTTCACATCTTCGTAATACATTATTTGTTCTGCTATTCAGAATGTCATGTAGTACTTAAGAGCCGATAAAAATAAAAATCGCAACAAGTTTAATTTTTGAAAGATTGTTTGAATTTTCATTGTCTTAGACTTTTATTGACAAAAAATCGGGTACACAAAACGAGTATGTTGACATTTGAAGGGATATAGAACCCTATAATTGTTTGAACAACCCAAGACAGGTAATCTTAATATTTTGTACACACAACGTGTTGAAAAGACTTCTTTTTCAAGATTTAGCCCATACAACTTATCCCGGTTCTAAATTTCTATGTAAACTTGACTGTCTTATAAGTACCTTATTCTTACTTTTATTTTTCTCACTTAAGATGTCGACACAGATGTTTTGAAGGAATATAGAAATATTCAAGTTTTATCAGGGATTTTAATATTTACATTTTTCTTTTTTCATACAAAAGGTTTTAATAGGACACTAGGTGCTGTTTTCATCACTTTGTTTAAATATATCTGCACCAAGTGACTGTAGTAAAATATCTTTTTTACGCAAGCATCTCATTTGTCAATTAAAATTATGTTTAAATTTATTAATATGTCGCCTAGCGTGGTGAGAATCCATTCAGGAAGTCTGAGTCTTAAAGGTCGGTGGAAAACAAAAAGTTAACGACAATAAACGTATAGCTATTTCAACGGTGGAACTAGCTCGCAATCATATAACCAGAGAAGTATTAAAATTCCAAAAGGTCGGTGTTAAAACTACAAGCACTGCTACTACTATGTCAGGAAAGTATCATAGGATAATGTATACATACATATCTGATGTTTACATGTTTCTAACATATAAAAACAAAATGTTTCATGTCTTAACCGTTAGGCGATAGGGTTTTTGACGCCTTATCACCTCGGCCCCCTATAGAGGAGAGCAGTTAATGAGATTTACATTGCTAGTATCTGTTTCAAAATGTACATTGATATAGCCTAATCATTGACAACTTACAAATGACCCAGAAGCTACAAATTTACATGGGTGACATTCGCTACTGTTGTTGACATTTGGATTTTATCTCCAGTTCTAAAAATTCCAATGAATTTTAATCTTTAAAAATAAAATTGTTATTTCGTTTTCAGATTTTTGAGTAAATATTTATTTATAAATAATGCGATTAATACAATTCTTAATACAAAACAATGAACACAGACGGTCTGTTATTACTTATATAACTTATATATTAAAGTACATATAAACCCTATACATACATGTTTTAGAGGATATACCTCCATCTAAGGCACACCACAACAAAAAAGGTGATGTTAATAATTTGGCTATTCAAAAATTTTGAAACATTTTGGAAGTTAGCAAATTTAGTAATTGGAACATTTTGGAAGTTAGCTAATTTAGTAATTGGAACATTTTGAGAGTAGATATTCAAATATTACCTTGTAGTTTACTATTAATATAATCTTCCTTGCAGATAAATCTGTTTTCGTCCATAATATATAATTCTTCTCCTGTTGACAACTGTTTCCTACAGATCATACATGTAAAACATTTTAGGTGAAATACTTTATTTCTGGCACGACGCACGAGGTCGTTTGGAGAGATACCCTGTGAACATCCGGCACATTTCGTTCCATATCGTCTGCAAAGAAAGGAAAAATAAGATTTTTTTTAAATTCTACAGTGGAAAATTATTCAAAAGATCTTGACCATGAAAACCTCTCACAAAGATTAAACGCATAAAAGTGTTCTGTCTTTATTTTTTATGTAAAATTTTTGAGACTGCAGTTGTTTGTCTTTTATTCGTTTCTTGTTTTTTGCCATGGTTTTGTCGGTTTCTCTTTTTTTTTTAATATTGATTGTCCCTTTGGTATCTTTCGTTTCTTTTTTGCAAATTAAAGTATTATTAAAAACTATCAGTAATAGTTTGGAGTAATATTTACTGTTTTGAAGACATTTATCTGTTAATTAAGTAGGACATATATTTGTGAAAAAATGTTTACACTAGTTTAGATGATAGTAAAAAACAAATTAAGCATTTCAATAACACTGCCTGAATTAAAAGTTAACATTTTTACCATTTATCTTTATAATTTTCAATCTGTTCTGATTTGCTTTCAAGTTTAAATAGCTTTTAATCATCAAATATATTTCGCTTGATCCGTTAAGGAAAATCAATGCGTTTTTCCAAGCAAAGGAACTCTTTCATGAAATTGTACGAATCATATAATAATTCTATTAATAAATCTGTCAATAAATCATGCCGCAATTTGAATGTATAAATTCATACATTTTTTGTCTTATATATGGAAATCATTTTCAATTATTAATTTACTAAAATTTCAAGGGATTGCTCAATGCCGTTTTGTGGTTTATGAGTTTATAAATTATTTTTCGTCTTCCACGCAAAATGTTTTTACAGTATATTTTCATAAAGATTTTAAATTTTAATGACATTATTTGAAATCGTTGCTTTTAGAATCTATTCAAATTCGATAAAAAATTGATGCAGAATAGCATATTTGCTTTCATATGAAATTAAACATAAATACAAGCTCGAAACTGCTTAATTCTCACGTCGTATTATTTACTTTTTAACAAACATTTTGATATGTTATAAATAATTTAATATTTAAACAATAAAATGCATTTTCTAGCAGACACTATTGATTACTATGTGGGATGAAGTACAAAAATTTGTAAAGATAACCAACTCCTCCATTAATTATTTAATTTTAAGATATTGATAGTGCTAATTTTCTTGCGTTGTGAGTGCCTGTTAACGAGCACTTATCTATACAATCGCTCAAACCTTTATGATAAACATGACAAAAATAATATTTTACTAAAGTAATAATAGCAATATTGGGTTCATTGCCTTGGTAGAGTTGACCTTGAATTTAATGAATTAAAAAATACCGTAGGTACACAATTAAATTCAACTTTATATTTTAAACAATATATGTATAAATAATGTATCTTAAGTTCATGACTAAAAAAAAAAATTTATATCATGCAAATATATAAGGAAAAAACTTACCTAAAGAAATCATTCCGACAAAATAATTTTCCGTCTCTTGAAAAACATTTATCAGTCAAAGAAGATTTGCAGTCTGAACACTGCACACATTTAGCATGCCAAGCCCTGTCCAAAACATTAAGTAAGAATCGGTCCAAAATCGGGCGCTCGCATCCGGCGCAGTGCACCATTGCCGATTTCCGTCCGACCGCCACAATGGAAGTTGAATGCATACAATCCAAAATAAAAGTTTTCCAACTTATAAACTAGAGGAAATTTATATTCCTCCAAATGTACCAGAAATGATGTCAACAGAATTATTCGGTTTATGAATCAATTTATAACATGTTCGATCCACACTTCTAAAGGTAAAATAAATTTTAAGTTTTTGTTCCGAAATCTGTAATAGTTGATTTTCTTGTTAAAAAAGTTAACTGTTTCTAGAACTTATTCAAACTTGCATGGTAATTGTTATTTTTTTAACAAATAAGTTTCAACTTTCAGTATCACAAACTTCTTAGACCGTTAGATGGGTACGTACAAACATTTATTTCTCAACACCAGTCTGTAACATTATTTAGACAAATAGTTAGGGGCGTGGCTTAGCTTTGATTTGGCCGTCAATCATATCTGTCCGTTGCTGCCTGATCAATGGGATGTGCACAGAGGGTGTGAATTATGCCGTCAGCTATCGTTTCAAATGAAATATCATTTAAATATTAAATGTGAATTAAAATATAATTGTAACCGTTTGTAAGGAGGATCGTGACCTTTTTGGTGTAGAGGCTTACTGAATAGTATATAGGTTCTCCATTCTCTGTAAAAAATCTATGAATCATAGAATACCCTTTATTCATAAAATATTTGCTTTTGTAAGAAATTAAATATGTATTTAAAAATCAGACAATCGTTCAAGCTTGTTCAATTGACAGTGATAATAAAAATGTACATATATTCACGGATTGTGCCAAAGACATAATCCACCACAGCTTTCAATATTTGCAAAATTTTTACTTTGATTTAGCGTTAAATGTCACACGATGTGTACGGAGAAATTCTATAAGATTTTAAAGCATGTTTGCTTTGGAAATGACAGTTTGTTGTGGTCTAGCACCATAAAAGAATTAAGGTCCGTAGTATTGTTATCTTGGCGTTATATGATATTTTATTACGGAGAATTAAATTCTCTCTGTCTCAACATCTTTTGTTAGGGATCCGATATTTTCTGTCGTCCGAATATTTATAATTCCTATTAAATATAGTTCAACCTTTGTTTTATTGCTGATAAATTTAACTATTATGATAGGACAGTAAGAATAAAAATACATTGAAATATAAATATATTCATGTAAATGTGACAAATGTAACATATTATGTTGTGTGTGTTTGAGAGAGAGAGAGAGAGAGAGAGAGAGAGAGAGAGAGAGTATACCCAAATGTAGACAAGACAAATACTTTATAAAAGTCTTGTTTCATGTATAATATATGTATAACACATAGACATATATATTACCTAAATATACCAAGAAATCACTATCAATCAAATGAATGGTGCTGCTGTTATAGTTATTCTTTATCTCGATTCTCGTTAAACAACAAACTAACATTTTAAATAAAAAGTGGACAAATTAACACCACATTGGTTTTAAATTGAACATAGTCAGTAAAGGCATTCCATGTGAGTTAGTCTTATAACTTAAAGAAATACCGCAACACATTTTGTCGTGTTTCTTTGTTTGTTAATATTATGGATTTTATTTGATGCATTATATTTATTCAATAATTTATTCACTAAATAAAAATCAAGTAATTGTCGTTTAAAACATCATCCATAAATTATATATCATTTAGTACTATTATATGCACATTTATATTTTACTGTTTAAAATTCGAGATCAATTAAAACAGTAAATTTTCACATTTAAATTGAAATGAAGCCATCAACCAAGGCAATAAATCTGCAATTAAAACCTGATCATAAACAAGATGTATCTTCAAAAATGATGTTACTTTTATCGATTGCGAATAGAGAGTTTTAATTTGGAATTGCTAGGATACAAAAGAAGAGGGATCTGGTTGTTATATCTGAAGTAGATCTTTTTTCTTGAAATAATTAAACAAAACATTTAAACACAACTACCAAACTTCAAAAAAGAAAATGCGCACAGGCAACTAAAACCAATGAAAACAATATAATCGCTAAATATCCCGACTTTGGCTAAGGTATTAGTTTGAGTTTATTCTTTTTTTAATTTGGAAGTATTCTGCAACTCATATAATAATAATAATAATAATGATAATTTTATCAAAAATGAAATAACTTGACATATTGCATCATTTCCAAATATAGTTATTGCTAAAACATATCTAAAAGTTATCACGGACATTTATCTACTATAACTTTCATTTGAAAAAAAAACTGTATTTCCAGTGTACATGATTATCTCACCATTGACATTTCGTTATTCGTAAGCACATACTATCTTTTTTGCAATCTTCAGGGCATTTCCGCCTATCTATGATTATTTTACAGAAAAAGTGTGAAAATGTATGTATATCGCCTATAGATAATTTCACACAGAAGATGACAAATTTCTTCCATTATTTCAGAATTTAACCGTCACCTTAACACCTTCATTTACCTGTTAATTGAATTAAACAATTACCTATTGTGTATTAATTACCACGGAATTTTTCTTGTAGAGCAATTATAATACGATAATCTTTTAATTTGTTTAAAGAGGATCGATTGATTTTTCCGCGGCGTTTTAGATGTCCTTCGTTAATCTGTTTTCCCTAAACAAACAGTCCACAGAACAAGAGTAATTCCGTCGTCTACTTTGTCTACGATTTGTAAAACTACTTTTTCTTTCTTTTTTGAGTATTTTCACATATACAAAATATTTTTATAGGAGTAGTGTTAGTTTTACAAATCGGATTTTTCCAATATTTTTTTGTTAAACATAATCCTATTATCGGTAACGATTTTATCATCTTTATTGATCTGTTTTTATAAATAATAGATTTGTTTATTTATTTCTTTTGTTAGATGAAGAAGGTTTTATACTAAGAAATATTTAGATATTTTCTTTATTTACCGTAGAACTAACATAGACTGTAAGTATGCAGTAGATATAATTATTCACATTTGGATTTTGGACATCCCAGTTGGAACAAATTGATCATCTTGACATGCACTGTTACTGATAATATACATAGAAAATCCGTCCATCACTAATTGCAATTTGCTCCACTCGATTTGGATGATGAATTTTGCATATTCTTTTCATTATATAATAAATATAACGTTGATCAAGTTGATACAAATATTATTAATATAGACAAAATGAACATAGAAAGCCGCTTCATTAAAATACTAGTAGCATTTATTTTCAAATCTAGCCCCATGAAATGAGAGCTAATGCGAGGCAAGATTTGCGACTTCTAAATAAAAGCAATACACATTCATATATACTATCAAATGAATAAATAAATATGACAAAGAAATAATCATATATCTGATATATATTAGGGAACATACTGAAACTTTGGAGAAGATGAAGAAACAAAAACATGCAGTCCCACTTCAATTTGTTTTTATAAAATTTATAAACTTTATGAAATATCAAAGACAAAAGTATTCAATATCTCTGATAATCTTTCCGATATGAATCAATGCAATCCGTTAAGGCATTGTCACACAGCAGAGCCTCATCAAGCAATTTTGTTAACCACAGACAACGGTATCATGTTTTGTTTTGATTTCAGTAAATCTAACTGGAACTGCCGTTCATTGTTGATTTGAACCTGACCAGCACCAGTAAATTAAGCTACACGTCTTTGTATGATGCAGTTTTCAAATTTCAACTTCCTCTATATAATTGGTTACCCTATCAAATTTGGTAAAATATCGGCGGTTAACGACAATTTACGATGACTTGACCAGTCGTTACAGACCTTACATCAACAATCTAAACAAAAATCTCGGATTTTGAAAATGTCCCAGACATCATAAATTTCACATCGTTGTAAATTTATGTATTAGTTTAACAAGAAAATGTGCATGCTTAAAGTTTCATTTCCGTTTTTTACATAAGAAATATTGTGCTTCAACTTTTGAATTACACATACGTATATATATTTATATATAAAAATAGAAATGTTTCGGTTACGGCTTTCTATTTATTTGCAGCAAAAATAATATTTTTGGAATTTTTCTTATTCCAAATATCCTGGTGAAAAATCGCAATTTAAAGCAACACAAATGTACGTTTAAGCTAACATAAAAATAAAGATGAACATAAAAACAAACAAATAAACGAATAAAAAAAAAATTAAATATTTTGTTGTGTAATTCTACAATCATGCATGTACGTCATGACAATTCGACACCAAAATCTAGTGACATACGTGAGAGCCACAACATATTTTATTGCTATTCCTCTTCTTGACGTTGGTTGTATTCAAAGATGAACTGAAGTCCATCAAATACTGAACGGTCCATGTATGGCGTCGAATTAAGTTGAACTCTTTGAAATTCATCGATGGTCAATTCAATGTAAATGAAGTTATGAAATAATAGAAAAAGTTTTCCTATTAATACTGTAATTTGTTGCCAGAGAAATTGCATTAATTAGTATATGCAATGTTTATAACATGAAAACAATTTTAGGATACAATAATCAAGATTACTAAAAAAATAATACTACTAGTATAATATTATATGTGTAGACAATTGCTTTTTGTTTTTTTTTCTTCTTGTAAAACGGTTGAACTGCATAATTAATTCGGAAACCAAAGTGTCCTGTAAAAAAACCGTGCGATTAAACAGTGAAACGTAAGAGAACATTGGTGTTATAGCTTTTATTTTTTGGCATGTAAAAGCTTAAAACTTAAAGGGTTCTAACACACTATTTAAAAGTAAACACTGTCCCATTTTTTATGATTTCTGAAAGTGGATTGGATGACAGGATTTTCAATGAATAAATAAATGCAAGACCAAAAAGCACGATGAATATTTTTCATAATCAACAGTTACCAATAAAATGAATTAAAAATCACAGAATTTGAGAAAAATAGCACCACACTAAACTAATTCCCATATGTTGTTTTGCTGATTTTGGTACTTTTCGTTTGTAAAATAATAAGAAAGTCGCTGATCGATACGTTGTAATTGCACATTTATTTCCTTTTAGAAATGAATTTTCCATGGTACATATATCGATTTCTATCTCAGGGGCATTTGATGCAACATCTCGGGGGAAAACGTCAAGTTTTTCACATTTTTAATTGTAAACAATTTCTGGATGGTCGGGTTGTATTGGTAAATTTCAATGAGTTAATTTGGTATTATGTATGCATGACTGTCAATTCACAGTTTTTGAATAAAACTTTGATTGGATTTCAAATGCTTGTCAAGTTGTCACAGAACCTTGCGTAATCACAAGATGACACTTGTTCGTCATTGTCCGGAGCTTCCGTTCGGTCATTTCCGTAAGGGAGACGGCAAAACAAATAATAAGAAAATGGGGAAAAAACTGAAAGTCAAATA